CAGAATATGGATCTAGTGAAACTGAACAATTAAAGTTGACAAGGGTTTTGTGCATTAAGATGAAATACGTTTCCGGCTGTGTGTTTGTGTAACTTGCTTTCAACAAGCCCATGATCGCTATGTGTTGCTCTTGGGTGGAGTGGGTGCAGGAGAACTTGGCGGAACAGCCCACCCTGCTTGCACATGTATCTCTCTTTAGTCAATATTGATCGGATTCTCCAAATGTCCACTTCATCTTTCTTTGTACCTGCCAATGAATAGCAAAATCAAGGGATGTTGATCATTGTTGGCCTCTTGAATGGTGCCGTATTGCGGCTGTGGGCTGCCGTCCATCCTTGGGTAAAGTCAACATGTTGGCCGCGCCGCGGGCAGCCTGGACCTACGCCGTTAACAACTCTGAATTCCCAGCGGAAACGGATAGGTTGCAATCAGATAGAGCTGCTGGGTTTTACCGTGTGCCATAAATAAATGCACGTTTTCTGTCTTGGTTACCAAACATGTTTATGTCAGTTGAGGGGGTTCAGGGCAAGTCAAGTCACGTAAAACAAGCCACTTACCTGATTCACACCGCGCCCATGTCGTTTTTGCCAGCGAGGATCGCGCTAACTAGAGAGGCGTCGATTGACTTCTAAGACTCAACGCAAAGCATGCTTTTTTGCACACTGAATACGGGAATATCAATGTTGCCAAAATTTACTGATAACAATGTGTTAAGGGTTCATGTTTTGATCGAATGTTTGAAGTCTTGTTCTGGAACTTCTGAAGTCTCATTCCAACCAGACTTAACAACACCTGACCTACTAGCCAAAGTCTACCAAGCAAAGAGATATTAAACCACACACTTCCCAGGCCCTATGCGTCTCAAACTGTGCTCTAAAATTCGTGTCATAGGCCTACATGTTTTTCATTGCACATTTTTTGTCCCTACCAGTAAAGTTAGGTTCTGTCTACTCTCCACCCCCTCCAACCAAAGAGGTGGGAAGATTCCACCAATTTATCTTCCCTACGCAATTGCAATTACCTACGCGCCGACAATGCTTCAATTTGTCTTGTTTACAAATTTCGGTCATTTTAAGCAGCGGGCAGACCACCATTCATTATTTCCCGACTGCGGTTAGTTAAACCTCCCATTATCCTACCCCTGCTCATCAAGTTAGTCTGGACCACCATTCACAGTCCTTCCACGTCGTATAATTTCCTGTCTTTTTGTTTTCCCTTGTCCTCCCCCGGAAAAAGTATCCCCACTGAGCGCCTCCCCGGGGGTTTACGCAACGTCCAAATTTCAAAAATGACACCACGGGGGGCAGATACCGGTATACCCTCCCCAGTGACACTGGTGATGTGCGCACACGCGGAGATGTTGAATAGACAACCAGCAGACTCGCCGGCCCGATACACCATCGTTAAATGTATCCATCCAAACGCCCCTCGGGTTGTTTGCTGACTTCTTGCCTTCCCCTTGCAGCTGAGACTGAGTAGCTCAACGACGTCCTGATTGACTTGTTTTTCTCTCGGTCTTTCAAGAAACAGAAACAAGCAAAAATGTCATTCTTTCCTGCAAACATTTTGCACCTACCGGCGATATTCATTTTTTTTGTTCTCAAGCCAAATTTTTGTCCACTTGCTCTCGGAGGAGTGGCGGCCTGGCAAGACGGGGCGTATACATTTAAAGACAATTGTTAGGGACAATGTTAGCAGGATGCAGAGCCCCAGGATATTAAATAAACTAATGGGATCGACAATGGTTACTTTAATGTATTTGTACAGCGATCGGAATTCAATTGAAAGGACAGCAAAAAAGGATGTTTGGTCGCCCGCAGCTTCGCAAAACAGTTTTCTTTCCAATTTGAAAACTGCTCCATTCCGCGGTTCCCTATTTTGCAAAGAAGCATAACAACATTTCAGGAGATAGCTTCGGGATAAAGCATGCTTTTTATCGCACGCACGCTTTCAGACGCATCTTCGACAAAGTAACAACGCAATTTTTTTAGCTTCGTTCTAATTACTGTATCTGTGATATTGGGTTGTTAGAAGAATAAAGCACTTTTCCAGAGAGCCTTTTCTGGGCTCTAATATTAATCAAGCATCGCTATACGAACATGCAAAGCAACTTCAGAAAACAAACTTAACCTCCATTTTGTACACAGCAACACTAACTCAATTCTATAGATTAACTCGATCTCGGAAGGTATTTATCCAGTTCTATCAATTTCCCTCCACACATTTAGATTTATTTCTAAATTCTTTTGAAATACACTGAGAAGAGGAGGAAGTTTTGTTGTTTTGGTACCGTGTTTGGTGTTTCGTAAACAGATTTTGATGGTGTCACTTTTGGCTTGCCTTTTTTGTGTTCAACACGCAGTTGAACACTCGGTTTGCCCATGCTCAGTAAAGTATGCTCGCTTTGACACATTTCTAGTCTAATCAGCCATCACCAATTCGAATTCTACAATAATTCTCGATTTCGTATTGACTTCCCACAGATTTGAATGACTGAAAACAGAGAAGCCCTCCATTTCCACGAACTGCTTGCAGTTTGTAATTCCAATTCCAAGCTAGTCTCGCATTGGTTCACGAAGAAGAACAGCGGAAGAACAGCGGTATCGGAATTGTTCAACATGAAAAAAAAACGAAAAGAAACCTGTTTTGTTGTTACTGATGCATTCTATCATCTGTCAACCAGTGTATTTTGCTAGGACCATTTAATTCTATGGTTTCGTATTTTCGTTGCGCGACATTGAGGGCTGCTTTCCAGCAGCACGTCGGACACTGGCCCGACACGGGTAGGGCTTCTTGGCCACTGTTGGTGGAAGCGGATTTCGCTCAGCTGTTGTGTTAAAGGTAAGCGCGGCCAGTGTCTTGTGGTCGCTGATGGGTTAAAGTGCTTGTGCAGATCGTGTTGTGTGTCGTTGTGATCACTGAAAACAAAGGCCAAATATCACAAGTAAGCTTTTGTAAGTGTCCGCCCATTACACAGCTCTCATCGGCAGAAACGGGGAGAACTCAAACAAAAATCTCACCGCCCCCATAAGAAAAGGAAAATTAGTGGCGAAACAGTAGTCATCTGTTTTTTTCGTCGATCTTATCAAACCCTATCCAGTTTCTAGATAACGCAGTTGAAAAGTTCGCGAGGGAGGAAAACCTGAAAACTCTTTGGCACAGAAATCTTTGAAAACCGTCTTCTCACAAAACGGCCGGCAAGGCAATCGAAGTCGGGCCACAGTGGTGAGAGTCGCATTGCGTTACTCACTGGCCACCAGTGTCGCCCCATGACACTGAATTCTGTTAACTTTCCTATTTAAACAGGCTTTCATTCTTTTTACCTACATCAAAAGTCCAGTCGTCCATCAGCAAATGTTATTTTCCTATAGTGTGGCCAAAGATATGGATTTAATCCGCTATCAGGACGATCCTAATTTTATGATGGTGCGATGCAATTTATTTGAGGTAGACTTTAGAATTGTGTCCGGCTCAAATAACTCGGAGGTCTTGCTTGTTTGAATTCCCAGAATGATTGAAAAATAAAGAATACAAGGATCTGTTTCTTGCGCCTTAGAAATATATACCCGGCAGGAAGTGATACGGGCGGCATTAATCATATAAAGCCTGCAGGTGGGAGCGAGGAATAGGTTTTTATGTTACGTCAAACACTCGATTAAAAATGCCCTGAACGCACCGATCCATCAAAGGTGACAGGACTGAATTCGCCAGGCCCTGTATCTTTTCAAGTTAAGCAGGCACAATTGCCGAGTTGGTGCAAGAAGTAAAGCACAGGTCAGTTTTTATTCAGCCAAACAAAACACATCTAAAGGCTCTATGTGGACAATACTGAACTTTAAGTGAGACTTGGGTGTGTACAATTGCTGAAGTCGCTAAATAATGGAGATGAAGTCCATCATCATTTCTTCCTAAAAGTGTCTTTACTGTTTTTAAATAAACAACAAACTTAATAGCAAAATTGCACGAATTATAATGGTTTTCAGAAAAGAAAGGGACTTTTTCTTCATTCTTTTCCCTTTTCTTTATAAAGTTTCTACCGAACCTAGCAGGCACTGGATTAATTTTCATATCCCCTGCCACCGAAGTTATGTGATAGACAACGTTTTATCTTTGTGGGTCAAGAGGGGCCAACAACAAACAATAGGAGAGAACCCACATGTCAACATCAACATTTGAACACTTGCCTTTATCGAGAACCATGAAGGTTATGAGACAATCTTCATCAGACCAGCATGTTTGAATGTGATAATCACTAAATTCAAGTTAGTTTTCGCTCTTCTAAAGGCCTCGTTATTAATCTCTCTGGTGGAGAATCAAGAGGAATTTCTATTGAGTACAAAATACCCAAGAGCCAGTATTGCAATAACGCACTTTTCGAGTACACAAGCTCAGGCTAAATATTGAAATGATCAGGAGGGAACAATGCTAGACAACATGGGCATTGGACAGTAAACGCGTAAAGGACATGTTAACTGATTGGTTGGTGTGCATGGCTCAGCTGCATAGAGCTTGATGAATGATGGTCTTTAGAGTCTGAGTTATTAACCAAAACATAAAAGGTTTCGAGAAGAAACTCGAAAATAGTACATGGTCGAGTACCTTTCGAATATTTTCATTGTAAAAACTTATTTTTAGTGCTAAGTGATGGGATGAATTTTATTTTGTTATCATATCTTTGTGAATGTACAATTCAATGCCCATGTTCTCTGGCTACGTTTCCTACTAGCCAAGTCATTTTTGTTAAGTGAACTCGGAAAAAAATACCGGGCTACAACACTGCAAAGAACATTCGGTTTAAAGGTCTCGAAAGATGGCTATTGCTTTTGTTGGCAAAACGAGATGCAAAACAAAATATTCCCATTCATGTACTTGGTTTTGTTTTAAACTTAAATGAATCTTTAAGCGTAGACCATGAAAATTACAATCAAGTGCTATCTTTTGGGGGTTCCAAAAGTGTACAAAGTATGGAATAAAACGATTTTTAATAAAAACGGTATCAATTTCTCGTAATTTGAAATTTCGTTGTTCGGCGTTTGCCATAGCAATTACCTAGAGCAGTAAGTAACACACACTACACAAAACTGTCACATTTTTAGTCTTTCCTGGTGTCTGTTGCTCGTCTACCTTCTAAACATCGTGACCCCGGTGATAAAGCGAATTTCAATAAATAAACAGACAAAAAATTTCCATCAAGATATCGTTCGTAATAAATTTATTTTGACACTTTATACAAATGAAAAGCCGTGGTTTGAATGATTTAGGGGCTTTTTTGTAAAATTATTTTCTTTTGTAACTCTAGTCCATTACCTTTGTTCGTTTACTGTACTAAGTACCTGTTTTTTGCTATAAAGTGAGTTCTTAGTTATTTAGTGTGTTAACTTAGATGAACAAGAGTGTCGGGACTACCTATGCACTTTAATATTTAGCACAGAATTTAACAGTCTTGAGTATTTTTTTTTCTGTTAGTAAAAAATGAGGAATGTTAGTTATAAGAGTTGGTTGCTTTCTGGCCATCATGCCATCAGATATATGTACAGGTTTTAAAAATATGTACAGTAAAGACACTTTAGATATAAATGACACAATTACCTCAAAATGGTTGAAATCAGTTTATACCAAACTAACTACGTTACTGTCAAAACGTTTAACAAACTAATGCAATTTCATCAGACTATGGGTGGCCTGTGTAGAGAAGAGACGATCGTTCTGGTGAGACTTCGTAAATGGTGATGTCACTTATGATTGTCACAGAGAACTTTCAACTTTTAACGGGAAATATTTCAGTTCAGAGCAATTCAGTACAGAAGCAACTGGATACGAAAATAAGAAGCTCGTTGCCCATTTGAGATAGTAGCTGATTCCTGAACTGCTTCGAAATTTATTATTGTTTCTATTAAACCGAACATGATAAAGAAACATTTCGTTGAAATGAAACCCACACACGGGCGACATTTAAATTTTTGCATTTTGGTGACGGCACTGCAGTAAAGAACGACAGAACACAGCGTTTCAGAAATTTGCGCGATTCGTCAGTGGCGTACAGGTCGGGGTGGATTTTTTCGAAACCGATTGCCCAGTGTTTACCATTTGTGAAAGAGTCCTCGTCCCCCAAAAGGCAGTAATACCGTTCTGAAATGCAGGTGCTTTCAATCAATTAAAAAAAATACGGGGGGGGGGCAATTTGTCCATCTGCTCCTACCGCTGGATATGCCACTGAATACAATATATCTGTGTGCGAGTAACGCAATTAACATAGTCCCTCAGTGGAGAAGTTTAGTTAAAGACAACAGATTAATTGGAACAAAAATAGCCCACACTTTTGGATGTTGTACATGTACATTTAAAACTTGCTTGCACAAAGTTACCACCGCTTGTTTCACTGTAAAGTCAGCCGGCCCCAGGACTTTCGTAACTTCGTTGTGAAGCTTATAGATTGGAGAGCAAGGAAGGAATCTTTGAACTGTTCATTCTTGGCAAGTTTAACGGACTTGACTATCAATTGTAACAAGTGGAGTTTCATAGAATCTAAAGCGGGAAAATATCTTTATTGGGCAAACTACACTCCACAAACTGTGGACATACGGAAGCAGAAATTCTCTGATGAGACAAACTGCGTTCTAATAGGTATAAGTTATTACGCATTATATTTTCAGCCGATGTAATTTAGCATAGCAACATTTTATAGGAACAAGAACAATGCCTGTTGAACGTACAGTTGGGTTCTTTTTCTGTTTTTAGATGTTTATATTCTGAACAGTTTTACGATGTCTTACAAAAGCAAGTGTGATAATTACAAAGAGTGTTGTGGAATTCTTCGGCCCATCTGACAACATGAACTCGACCCATAACTTTGCTGTATGGCAGGGTAGGTGGGTAAAGACGCCGCGGCGTGATGCGCCGTCTGCACGGCCGACATTCCCCCGACGGACAGGTAGCCGGTGCTGGGTGCAATCGCCGTGGACGGGTAGCAGGGGGCGGCCCCGCAGTAGGGCTGGGTGGGTGGAGCCGTTGTGGCCCATGGAGAATCCGTGAAAGATTCGTAGGAAGACGGGTACTGTCTCGATTGTTGAAGGCTGGATTGATAGTGGGATGGATAAGAATTCAGCGCCCGATCCCTGTGGTAAGCCGTGGATGGATAGCTGGGCGCATACAAGCTGAAGTGTCCGTAGGAATTGACGTGTTGTATCTGTGCCGGCTCGTTCCTCCGTTTGCTCACTTTGAAGCGTTTAGCTCGTCGCAGAAAGCTACCATTGCTGAACATGTCCCCGCAGTCTGGATGGAGTGCCCAGTAGTTTCCCTTCCCAGGACGACCCGGTGCCCGAGGGATCTTAATAAAGCAATCGTTCAGGGACAGGTTGTGGCGAATGGAGTTCTGCCAACGCTGCTGATTGTCTCTGAAGTAGGGGAATTTGTCCATAATGAAGGAATAGATGTCGTTCAACGTCACCATCCCATCTTTGGAGTTCTGGATCGACATCGTGATCAGAGCAATGTAGGAGTAGGGAGGTTTCACGTCAGCAAATCGCCGTTTGTGTGGGTTGAGCGAGCCACTGCTGCCCGTACTTCCGTACCGGTCCCGGTACGGTACCTCTCCCGGGTCACCTTCCCCGTCACCCAGGGTTTCAGGAGATGAAGAGTTCGCAGCTCTCCGCAAAGAGGCACTGTAATCAGTTTTCATTTCTCCGTTTGCGATCCTTTTCCTGACTGCGTCATCGCTGTCATCAACATCAGCAGTAAATTCGGCAGTCATTTTAATTTTGTAAAAAAATTTTAAATCCAATCGGCGATCTTTGCTCTTTAGAGAAGTTGAAGGAATTCACACGTGCGAGTTGATGACGAGACTCATCACTCACGATGTGTGGACTGATTTGATGACTTCGATTTTTCTCAGGTTTTAAAACAAACTGATCAGATCGTCTGCCGTGTCTGTCAAGCCGCTGTCAAGTGGGTGATAAGAGTGAAGATGCCATGAATATTGATGAGCAAGGTGATAAATTACTCCCTGGCCCTCTAAGCTTTCCTCCTCCTTAGAAAGGCTGGCCCTGGACACAGTGTAAGGCGTTTGTTTGGTCTGCTTTTGTTGCAGAGACTACCAAAGTGCCGTGCCCAACCCTCTCATCATGACCGGCCTGCCTTTGCCCCATTGTCCGAGAAAAGAACACTTACCTATCGATTAAAGACTGCGGACCGGCCAGACATCCATCAACCAGCTTCATACCAGCGAGACTTGGTGTCAGGGTTTTTCAGCGACGCATTAGGACAATTGCCAATCACAAAATTCCTGTGAATTCGACGCCGAATTTGGGTAGCTACTTTTTAACCTGGACTTTTGGTTTATTGGTTCATTTCGAGCCAACATGCATGTATATACCACACATGTAGGAATGATAGCCAAATACAGGTGTGCGTCATCACCGACTTTGAAGGTAATGGAATCTATTTTGGAGGGATAGACAGTCATCATATGCGAAGATAATTCACTTGACTTTTGTGATAAATATGCACTCATTTAGCTGGAAATAGTTTCTCTTCTTTTTATTATTTTATAGCATATATTTCAGTGGTAATTCTGACTGTGGGAATTCCTTTTTTGTGTTACAGTATTGGTATGCATTCATTACTATTCGCAGCCAAGCAGTATGTTGCTATCTCCAGAGAGTGGGTTGCTATATACGGTGGTAATCCAGTAAGCGTAGAATATTTTTTGAAAATGAGTTTAAAATGAACTGATCTGCCTTTTGAGATGAGGCAAACTCTTGTTTAAAACACGTAAAGCTACTGGCGGCGGGAGCCCGATCTCGGAGCAAATCAGGCGCACTTCAACTCATGACTCAGAGTTATATGCCCACCGCGGGACTAACACTGTACATTTCACCTCCCCTGGGCTGAAATCAAAATTTAGGCACTTTTCAAGTTGATTTGGAGGAAAAGCTACCGCATAATTTGTTGATATAATAATAGCGCGCATAATTTTGTTTGCTGTTTTCTGTGTGTGTGTTTGTTTGTTTGTTTGTTGGGTTGTTTGTTTGTTTGTTTGTTGGGGTGTTTGTTGGGGTGTTGGGGTGTTTGTTTGTTTGTTTGTTTGTTTGTTGGGTTGTTTGTTTGTTTGTTTGTTGGGGTGTTGGGGGGTGTTGGGGTGTTTGTTTGTTTGTTTGTTTCGCTTTTAATACAACACAGCATTTCTGGTATCACTATTTTTCTGTTGCTGTTAACTGTTATCAGAAAATAATGCCCCGCTCGTGTGCTTGGATGTCACCTCGATTTTCTTACTTACGCCCCGTTCGTGAATGCCGGGCGAACCGCTTCATGTTGTTAATGCTGGATCTGCAAATGCATCAAGCTAACATTGAGGCGTAGGGTTTGTTTCTTTCAACGATAACGGCTTTCTCGAATTAGCTGATGCGGTTTGTCACAATGACTACTTACTGCAATTCAGTTCCTGATTTAATGGAAAAGGTTTACGGTTTTTCTTTTTCCTTTTTTTTCTGTCTCTCTGCCCAGTATGGGTAGCAGTGTATTCAGCTATTGGTGTTGGGTGAGTGGGGTGGAAGTCGAAAGCTTTGCTGTTCTGATATTCAGTCCAAACATTTTAACCATAAATCGCTGTAAACATATTTTGTTCTTGTTTCTTTTTGCGTACTTATTGACGCCTCTGTAAGAAAATACCATTAAAAAATCAGTGATAAGCAAGTTACCCTTCCTTGCCCCCCCCCCAGAAAAACCGCTAAGTATAGGTGCGTGGAGGGGTCCATCAATCCTGACTTAACTTGGATACTCATAAAAGAGCAGTCCTGACAAAACAGTTGCGGGCTATGTATGGAAAGTACATGTACATCATGGTTAGCACTCGGCTCAGTACCATTTGCAACGTGGGGCGGCGCGGACATCTGGGACTCTCGCAAAATGGCGGATAGTAACCAATGAAAATAGTGACCATGGCGACGTATGCGTGTACCAGCCATTCAGAGGGCCGGATTACAGTGCACACGCGCGCGTTCGTTGCAGCTGTTTCCATTGGCGCGGTGTTGTTGCTATTATACCCGCCATTTTGCTAAACTCCCGGATGTCCGCGCCTCATAATCACCACTGACGATCAATTAACCAAATGTTTTCTCACCAGGACGAAACAATGAAAAACAGATTCTTGCCTGAGGCGGTACGTGTTCTCCCGTATCCTGTAGCTCGAGCGAGCTCGTAGTTGAAATGAAAATATTTTAAAAGCATCAGATCGATTGGATAAGCGGATGATGGTTAAGGCGACGGATTACATTTTAGTTAATGGGATGATGCTATCCCCCACTGACCTGTCATTACTAATTAACGAGCAGAACGGGTAGTTTTTATAACTTAAAAAAGGTGAAACTGTGATGTTCATCACAAGCGAGAGATGGTGGTTACAAACGCTTTGGTTTGGCAGTCGTTTAGCCTCTACAATGGCATCACCTCTAACCAAGTTCGATTCCTCTTCATTATATGAAGAGACAAGCTATAGAGACATAGAGACAAGCTTCCTCCAATGAGATTAAATAAACTCCGTAACTCCGACCAACTTTCCGTTCCAGATGTCCAATCACTGTAAGAGAATAGCACAATTTCTCTTTTCACTACCTTTTAAATAGGAATTTTTTTAGGTTTTTTTTTTAGGTTAATTATAATCACTGACTTTTTAAATTGGTAACATTGAACTTAAAACTGTCAGAATTACCTCTTCACTGCAGCTGTTCAGCCCAACTTCCTACTTGAGGAATGTGTAGCCTGAAAGGCGATTATATACTCATGAAAAGAACGATGGGGGAAGAGAGCACAAACTAATTCTGGTCGCTATGTGACAGGATAACCGATGATCCATTTCCATGTACATGTAATAATATGTTGTGTATTGCTGCTGGAGAATTAAGACGGCACTGTGAACAGCGCCCTCTCTAAATACTGTGTTTTACCCCACAGAAGTACATGTATATTACCGAGCGTTATCTGCTTTTTGCAGAACTTAGCAGTGCCGTTCCAGTCAAAGGGACTCATTCCAATCAGCAAGTTGTCTTGATAATCAATCAATTAGTACCGCCACTTTCGACCAATCACGGCCTCAAAAAGGGTACTCTCTTGGCACTTGTTAGAAATTCATCGAGTTGTTTGACCATAATTCGCTGGTTCCCTGATCACGGCGCCTCTTGTTGGGTACCCAATGATGACTTACCAGCGAAAACTCAAGGTTGAGTTTGTTGCAAAGCTGCGAGCTAAATCAACAATGTGCGTGTGTCGTCCCACATACTAGAACACAGGAGGCACACTCCTCGTTCAGGCGGAAGGGGATTTTCACTGATTCCTGTTTGCTCGCGGTGAATGTCAGCACAGCAGGAATGGCACACGACATGTGCAAACGGGCTGTTTTCCTAGGGGCCCGGAAATGCCCTCAGTATATCGTGGACAGCTCAGCTATACCACAGATTGAACCGGGGCAAGTTCTTGCCAAAATCCGACTGGCCACGATATGTGGCTCTGATGTGCACACTTTACAGGGGAAACGAATCGAGGAAACTCCAAGGTAGGCCTAACGTCACTGGTTACTACATGTACATGTACAGTATGTACAGTACAATACGTACTTATTTAATGTACATGTACATGTACACATGTGTACACACTACGTTATACAACATGGAACATCATCGGCAGTATTAATTCTAATTTATTCCAATTACCATAACCTTCATGACTGCTGCCTGAGTTCCTACCTCTGGCAAAATCAAGAAAATAAGCCTGGGCCCTAGTGTAAGAGGGTTAAGTTTTAGCGGAAAGAGTTCCATATACATGTACGGACAACACTTGATACCCCCGTGTACAAACCTAGTATAGAGACTTGTCTGAAAAAACTGTTTTCTAAGAAGGCCTAATTGCTTTGGAATTTTCTTAGCTAAATTTCGCTTTTTGGGATATGTTCTCACTTTCTGACGGCTGTTATAACATTTTAAGGGAAAATTAGTGTTGTCTGTACACGTGTATGGAAGTTATTGGAACTGTTTCTGTTTTAGCCAGCATTTCCATGTTATCTTTCCTTGTGCCTTAAGTTAGTTAAAGTTTGTTTTGGATCAAGGCCATTGATATAAATTTGAGATTACACTATTTAGTTTCTTTGTTTAGCATAATATTGGGAATGTACATGTATGTAGTTTTGCCTTCTTCCAGTTGCACTTTTTATTTTAGTGTCGGCATTGAATCGATACCATCGAATGATTAAATTCTCTGTTTGTGACCAAGTTATCATGTGAGCAGTGTGATTAAAAGGTGCAGAACTAGCACTGACCCCCATCAGGACACAAGGGCCAAGGATTAATTTTGAGACCCAGCCCAGGCCATTTCAAATTCAAATTTTTGTCAAATCCCTGAAAGTCACCAGATTATCCTTTTACTGTTTTAAATTGAGTCCTGCCGGTATGTTCATTAGAAAGCAGGATATTTCATTGTCTTTTCTTGATTGGTTGCTGTGGAGGATTTCTTTTAAGGCAAATAAATTATTTTGTCCCCAATTGCACTATATGTACATGAAGTTCTGAACGCCATCTTGTGAATGGGTAATTCCAGAAAGTAGGGGTCTTTTTTTTTCATGCCCCAGTCATATGATTTTGTAAGTTCAGAACACATTCTCTAATTTCTAATTTCCAAGAGTGATGAATTAATGCAAATTACATGTACCTGCCGAACAAATACATGTAGTAATAGTTTTGTTTGATTATTGTAGTGGTGTCGCGCTCATGTGCATACATACATGTATGTTCCTAAACTTGAGAGACGTGCACATTTTGGTAAGTCGTTGGAGTGATTACACCCAATTGGTGGGAGCTCTGCAGTTACTTACATGGAACACCTGCTTACCCACCTGTGTGAAGTTGGTGCCAGCACAGTAATGGCTTAGAACTAATTCCGGTGGCTGGATTAATGATCCATACCAGTGACTGCAGTGGGCCATATTTTGTATTGCACATTCTGGCAATGCTGGCCTAGTGTGTGTTATCAACTACAGTACATGTACATGTAGATACATGTAAACATCAACAACATGAACCAGTACCAGTACTTACATGTACATGTACAATGTACATACTGTAAGTAACGTGTAAATACACTAGCAGGATCTACATGCACATGTACACTAAACTAAAACATGGACAGATGCTACAGTTGGCATACCATATACATGTGCATACATGTACATGTACAAAACAAAGGCTGCGTGTTTCGTTATGTATGAAATCATGCACATGTACAAAGGTACCTTTACGATACAAGTTACACGATCTTTGGCAGTTATGCAGTCGGCCGAAGTAAATGTACATGTGTACGTGTAGGCACTGCAATTTGTCACCAGTATGGAGGTACATTGTAATGTTCTGTAGGATTTTGAAAGTTGTCGTTTCCCTGCCAAAATTACGGGGAAGATGGAAAACTCTCTTATTAGGCCTGGTAGATAAAAATATAATTTGATCATCTCAGTGATTATAAAGCAAATGATGCATTGTCCATACAAACACGGTTTTTTCCCTTTTTTTGCACAGCCAATGACTGTGCGCATACATGTATTTGGAGGTGCTAGGCATGCCTGTTGTACAGTCTGCTTAATTGAACGAGCACCAAGTTGCACACGTGTATGTAAATGGACCCTATCCAAACTTCTTGATCTTTCATGAAAAAAAAGCCAAACAAAAAACGACCAAAACCAAGTGAAGCAAAAAATAAATACAAATTCTAATATTAATCATGTTAATTGTAATGCCATGCTTAGCCAAGATGAATCGTCAGAATACCAGCTAGCAAATTCGAGAAAAAGTTGAATTTGTTAGTAGAGTTACATTTATTTTTGCAGCCATTTACATTGTAATTTATTTTGTGCTGAATAACTTCACATATTATGTACATGTACATTGTACATGTATTTTATTACCATGTGTTCAGGATTACAACTGAAGTTTGTAATTAATGACTTGCTGTGGAACGCCCTGTCACCCAAGGTTGTTCGATTTCAATCAAATGATTTACGTGTAATTTGTTTTATTAAAAAAAATCATTCAAAAATCAGGTTAAAGAAAATTACATGCACCTGACTTTGTTTGGGTATTTGAAAGGAAGAAATGGCAGGATTTGTACTGATGCCTTTAAAACATTTCCACACAACCAGAATTGGGTCATTTTGTGTATAACGTTTCTCTTTACACTTATTTGACATGATGTACAGCACTCTCTATTTTGTAGGACTGACATGTACATGTAAAGAATTCAAAAGCCATTCCATTTAATTTATACACATGTACATTTACATGCATTTAAACAGTATAACCACCAAATGGGTCTGTCCACACTAAAAGACACATTTGCTTGACAAATTTCCAACTGTAAATTTTGCCATTATTTTTGGCCTACATTTGCCTTCACTGTTTCTGATTGTTGCGAGGGAAAGGTACATGTAAAGATAAATTGAGCAGTATTTGAGAAATTACAGTTGATTCTTGAAGATAATGGTTTTCACAGACACTTTGTTGCTTTAACCCTCCTATGCTTTGATGCATTCTTGTCACAGTTGTCCTATCAGTCATATTTCCCATACTTGTGTCTGTGTACTGGGGGAAATCAATTGGAAGGAATTTTTGACTGTTTTTGACGGTTAAAACACTAGGAGGGCTAATATGAAAATGAAATTCAAAACATAATAAAAAATTACCTGCATAGTACTAAATACTCTTTTTTAGTTTACTTTTAGGAATTTTCATTGTCTCAGAAAAATAATTCCAGTGTAAACACTGAAGTTTATTTCAAGAAAACGGACACCGGACAGACATCATGTTTGTCAAATGCTGATATGGACAGACATTTGTGTGGTGTTTGAATTAGAGCATAAAAACAGAATTGTTCACGAAGCAAACTTGTTTGCTTTCAGTTTTCAAAATCATTTTTGTTAAAAGAACTATTAAACTTCAGCTAAAATGACACTGTGTAAGTTTTTCTCAATGTGTAACGTTTGTAACATGGACAGATGTAACGTTTGTCACATTCATGTAGCCTGGGGACAGACAGTCTTCTCACTTTCATTTTAGCAGAATGAACCGACTTTTTCAATGAATTGTTTGTTATTTTATTAAATTTGGTTTCGTAATAGATTTATGTGTACACTCATAAAGATATAGGTTTTCTAAGATTTTTACTTTTGGGGGAAAGTACGGTAGTTGTGACAAATGTTACAGAATAGTGGAAAGACATTCACGATTCCTAAAATCAAATCTTAGTTTTGTCATCTGATAAAAAAACACAAATATGCAAACTATTATTGTTAATTTAACTTTTCTCAGGAAGATATATTTTTGTTGAGGTTACCGTATCTCCTCAAAAAATGGCAAGATAAGCCTAGAGGTTTTTATGTTTGTCACTCTGTGGACAGACATCGTGACATACATAATTCCTGTTCAGGAAAACTTAAAGAAACACATGTCAAAAGCTGTCGATTTTGACACATTTCTCAAATGTTACACTGTAATAGCCATGTTTAACAGATGAATTGCTTTTTCTCCATGAGAGTGGTATTTTAGATTAACCTGAAAACATGCATTGACACAGTTACATGTATGTGCACTTCCAACCAGAACCCCTAAAATAAGCTGGACATTTTATTTAAAATCCTGGTTATTTTAGCAACAAACAACCAAATGATATTAAACTGTGTAAACTATACATGTACAGTATCTCTACAAATATAAATATCAGTAAAATTGTTAAAGTTCATTTCTTGATTCTCATCACTGTTAAAGAAAGAGGTGATTTTGGTTACAGAAATGTGTAAATATGTTTTAGTGTGGAAAGACCCAAATATCATGAAAATTGGACCACCAAAGATGTGTACATGTATATGCAAGTACCTGGCTCTCGAAATGTTGTACATGTACATGTATGAAGCATGGAGGAGGAGTTAGTGTGTACATGTACCAGTAATTAACTGGACTTAGCAAACTTTTGTGTTTAATTAGATATAAACAGTTCAACACATGATAAACTTAACCCCAGCAGTCAGTGGGTCAATTTAGTCATCACACGGTATTTCATACCTTGAACTTAAGGACCAAAGCCTTCTGGACAACTCATACAGAGATCGATTTAAAAAAAAAAGTGATTTAAATGAAAAAATACTGATTTAAATTTTAGAAATCTGATGTTTTTTATTTGTAAAAAAATCTTGATTTTTTATCAACCCTGCTGTTGGCAAAAATGGTGACTGACACTGACAGCAGGATCCCTAATGGTGGAGGGGACTTAGAGTGACAAACATGTACAGTATGTACATGTACGTACATGTACCGGTACATGTACAATGTACATGTATGAGCAAAATCGTCTGGATATACATGTACATGTATCATCAAAGAATAACCCCGGTGATGTGCTCTGGCTAATTTGACATTTCCCCAAGCACACAAGAAGAACCAATTTAACATTACCACACTAATCATAATTATTCTTGCTGTATACATGTACAGTACATCACCCGTCAAATATTTACATACA